TGGGGTTGAGTGCTCAGGAGAGGCCAGGGCTGGGCCTTGGGAATCCTTCCCAGGGATTGAACGATGCCTCAGACCCCTCCAGACCTAAATTTTTATGCCCCTGCTCTTCCTTGCTTTAAAGTCACCTCAAAGTCTCTGCCTTCTGTCATAAAGTTTTCAAGCCTCAATCTCATTGGTTTCTCATCTTTTAAGCAGCGTTCGGAAATGAAGATGTGAGTGAGCGCAAGTGCAGATCGTACAGTGACGGGTGGCAGCCGCGTGGGGCTGTCAGGGCGTGAAGGGTCCTGTGAGGGTGTGCAGCAGGGCTGTGCCAGGGGAAGCCGAGTCAGGAGTGGATCTGCTCGCGGGCGGAGCTCCGGGAGGCGAGTGGAGCGGCCGGGGCGCCGGGGGCCGCGTGCTCCCTTTCCTTTCCGCTCAGAGCCCCTTCCCAAGCCTCCTGCCCAGCCAGACTGCTCTGGGATGCAGGCTGCTGCGGAGGCGGTAGGCGGTGGACCGGCCATGGGGCCAGGTGGCCGGGACCACGTCCTTGAGTGGGGGGAGTCCTGGCAGGCACCCGCCAGTCCCATCTGCCCTCTGTGTGCGGAGAGAGCGCATTTCCTTCTTTCCTTTAAGCCATCATCATTTTCGCTCGAGTCCCCCACCCTGGCGGGGGTACGGGAGTAGAGGTTAGGATAGAACTTTCTACACTGCAGGTAGTGACCCATTTGTGGGCACGAAATCAGTTTAGTGGGTCACAGCAGCATTTGTTATATAAGTTGAATTGAAGAGAAAAATAACAGAGCACATCACAGGTAATAAGGGTGAGTTTGGTGAAAAAAAAATCATTCTGTATTTACATATCATATGCGCTATTGCTGGGTATGGTAGGCTGAAAAATGACCCCTCCGAAATATATCAGGTCCTTGTCCATTGAAGCTGTGAGTGTTGCTTTATTTGGAAAAAGGTATTTTTGCAGATGGGATTAAGTTAAGGATGCTGAGATGGGGGCATGATCCTGGATTATCTGGGTGAGCCCTAAATGCAATCATAATTATTAGAAGAGAGAGACAGAGGGAAGTTGCAGACAGACACACAGAAGAGAAGATGATGTGACCACGGAGGCAGAGGTGGGGGTGATGTGGCCACAAGCCCAGGATGACAGCAGCCACCAGCAGCTGGGAGAGACAAGCAGTGGATTCTTCCCCAGAGCCTCTGGAGGGAGGCAGCCCTGCCGACCGCTTAGCTTCAGCCTGGTGATACTGATTTTGGACTTCCAACCTCCAGACTGTGAGAGAATAAATTTCTATTGTTTTAAGCCACGCTGTTCGTGGTAGTTTGTTACAGCAGCCACAGGAAATGATACAGTGCGGAACAAACAACCCCAACGCTCAGAGGCAGAGATCAACCATCAGTCATCCTCGATCGGGGCCTGTGGGCTGGGCTCAGTGGGGTAGCTCTGTCCCATCTCTCCTCTTCCTTCTGGGACCAGCAGGCTGGCCCGGAATGTTCTCATACAAAGGCGGAAGCACTTAGAGCAGCAGAAACACGTGAGGCCTAGACTCGGAGCTGGTGCATTGTCACTTCTGCCACGTGCTGTTGGCCAAAACCAGCCGCAGGAGCATAGGAAGATGCCCTCTGCCCGAGATGAGCCCCTCGCAAGGCTGAGGATGCAGGGAGAGCCCAAAGCTCAGTCCACCCCCGGGTACCCACACCTGTGTGTGGGCCACTGCCCGGTGCACGTCTCTCTCTGTGCTGACGTCTGGATAGTCTGCAAGCCGCTGGCCAGTGACAGAGAACCCAACTCAAAGAGCCTGGCCTGGGTGCCCTTGACCTCGAGGTTCACGGGTTTTCAGGGCCGGCTCTGCCTCTCTGTGACTCTGCCTGAGCAGCAGCCTGGAAGGTTCCGGTTGGGGCAGGAACAGTGCCACAGCGTTTCTTGCCTCACCTCCTCACCCTACATCCTCAGAGGAAAAGAGAGGTTCATCCTGCAAGGTCTGGGCAGGGGAGGACCGCTCCCCTAAAGCCCCACCAATCACGGCCCCAGGGTGGGATGTGCAAATTGTAAATTAGCTTAAGCCCATCGGGGTCCCGGTCCTCAGCACTGGTGACCTTGGAGATGCTTCGCAGCCCAGGCTGTGGGGCGGGAATCTCCCACGAGGCTGGGGAGCCACGGCCTTTCCTCCCTGTGGGTGCTGGCCACGCTGCCCCCTCCAGAGCCGATGGGGAAGAGGCAGGGCACAGGTACCCCCTCCACCCCTCAGCCCTGGGAACACCTGAGGCCATGGAAGAGGAGGCCGTGGGTTCCTGGAGCCCTGGACCTCTGTGGGTAGGGGACGCCTCTGCCCCCTGAGCCAGGGTTGGCCTCCTGGGGGCCTGCAGCCACTGCAGATGGGGGACCACAGTGCAGTGGGGCTGGGGCTCCCTGGGTGGTTGATGTGGGTCGTGAGGGAGCCCGGGCCTAGGCACCTGGAGAGGAATGGAGCCCAGGAAGGCACCGCAGAGCCAGGCCCTGTGCTGATTTCTGCCGGTGGGTCCCGGGGTCCAAGAAGCCCTCCCTTTAATGCCGCCCTCTCCCTGGAGGCTGGTCTTGCAGTGCTGGGGCAGAAGTCTCTCCCCGCACGCAGGTGTGTGGCCTTCAGCCGAGATGCACAGGAGGCATTGGGCCCTTGGGGGACCCTGTGTGGGGGTATCAGCCTTGGGGAGAATGGCCCGAGGCTGTGAGGCTCTGGGACAACTTGAGGCAGAGAGCTAGCCCCTGCTGGGCGCTGTCCCCATAGGGAGCCTGCGGGCTCTCTGTTCATTGCCACGCCGTATCTTAGGCTGGGCTCACGCTTCTCCACCTTGGGGAGCCTAGGTTCCTGCCTCGTGGGGGAGGGAGGAGAGTCCTTCGAGGGTGTGGAGCTCAGGGGGCCGTCGCCCCTCCAAGGGGCCTAGTGAACTGTCCTGCTTTGTGCTGTGTCCAGGGCCGGAGCAACGCTTGCCAAATGCAGGCACTGTTACCCACAGCTCCTCGCTCTGCAGCTCCCTCGCCAACACCTGAGCAAAACCCTCAGCGCTGCCCCTGGTCCTCAAGGTAAAACCCACGCTTGATGGGGTGTAGGATGCCCTGGCCCCTGCCCGCCCTCCCACCTCACCGAATGCCCCAGCCTCATAGCCATCCTCCCAGAAAGGTCAACTTGCCACGTTGCCTCTCCAACCACACACACGCTGTTCCCTCTGCCTGGCATGCTCTTCCCGACATTGAGTGACTAGCTGCCCCATGGCCTCTGTATCTCCCTGAGTTCTGTCCTGCAGGGTGCCCCCTCGAGCCCCCAGGAGCTCCCACTGCCTGCTGTGTTTCCCTCGGTCAGCACCGGTCATGCACTGGGCCCCCGTCCTGCTGCACTCTCTGGCTCAGCGCCTGCCACCCTCTCTCGTTCACCAGTGCTGGCCCACCCCACCTGTCTCTCTGCCTCGGTTTCCTCATCGGGGAAGTAGGGATATGACGGCTCCTGCCTCGGGGGGTGTGCAGCATGTGGGACTCGCTCAGTGCTCAGCGGGGGGCTGCTGTCATTGTCACCCTCGATCTGGGTTTCTGCCCCGAGCTGGGCGCAGGGGCACAGGGCACAGATAGCACAGTATAAGTGAGCAGGGAAACTCTTCTTATTTATAAGCTAAAGGGGGTACAGTTCTCTGCCTTGGTGCACAATTTGTACCCCGTGGTGGGTCCCCTGGGCCCCGTGGTAATGCTCCAGAGAGCCCTGGGAGTTTGCTGCAGTGACCGGCCCGTCGCCACCCCCGTCCGCTGGGCCATGAGCAAGAGGCTTCAGACCCTCTTGATTAATGGAGATCAGATTAGGCGTGTGGGCAGGTGGGCCAGGAAAGTCCCCGCCTGCTGTCACACCTACTCCCAACTCTTCAGAGCTGATGGGATGAGGTGTTTTCTGCTAGGTGCTGTTGAAGGGGATTCGGCCCACCCAGAGCTGCTCTGAAGGGATCCCGGCCCCCATATCTAATGACTGGGTTTGCACACATCGCGAGTATGGTTAACCAGGATGACTCCCGTGGGGTCTGCGGCCCTGTGCTGGGTCCGAGGCAGTGCTTACTGCTTACACAGCTGGAGGGTCAGATAACATTTCTAGGTCTCGAGATCTTAAAGCTGAGACTAGCAGAGGGGCACCAAGGGGAACAGGGGATGCCTCAGGGACCATGCAGTCAGCCAGACCTGGGCAGGGCCCCAAGGCTGCCTTTCATGCCCAGGGGCCTCCCGTCGGTCACCTGAGCTTCCCAAGCATCAGTTTCCCCTCTGGCCATTGGGGCTCTGTGGTGGGTTAAGTAGGTCCCCTCAAAATTTATGTCTACCCAGATTCTTAGCTTGTGACTTTATTTGGAATAAGGGTCTTTGCAGATATAATTACGATAAGGATGGAGGTGAGGTCATCCTGGATTAAGGTGGGCCCTAAATCCCGTGACTGGTGTCCTTATAAGAGGTGGAAAAGGACACCAGACACACACGGAGAGGGCACGTGATGACGAAGGCAGAGACTGGGCTGATGTGGCCACAAGCCCAGGAATGCCTGGAGCCCCCAGGAGCTGGAGGAGGCAGGAAGGACCCTCTGTTAGAGCCTCCAGAGGGGGCCCAGCCCTGTGACACCTTGATTTCGGGCTTCCCTCCTCCAGACTGTGAGAGCGCAAATGTCTGTTGTTGAAGCCCCGTTTGTGGGCTTTGTTAGGCGGCCCCAGGACACTGTACAGGCTGACTGCCCCCTACACCGCGTTGCTGGGAGGGTTGTGTGGGCTCGCTCATGCTGCACCTGGCACAGGGCGGGGCAGTAAATGGTCCTGCCCCTCCCAGGCCCCCCCACCCCCACCCCGAGTGCCTTTCCAAAGTCCCTTTCCCGGACGCCTGGGAAACAGGTGCGTCTTTGGAGTGCGGTGGGAGTCTATTTCAGTGTGCCGGGAAGGGGTTGGCCCTGCCCCTCCTTGGGCATGAGGGTGGCAGCTGCCACGTAACCCTCTGGCATGTCCATCCGGAGACGTGCTGGCCGCAGAGGCTCTCGCACTGGCCCAGCTGCCGCCCACAGCCTCCACGGTGCCGGCACTTCGAGAGGAGGCCACGCTCCACGGGGATGCCCGGAGGAGAGACAGGTACAGCCCCACGCCGCCCTTGCCCTCAGGCCATCTAGCCGGGGAGGAAGGCTTGTTTTTCTAACTGGAAGTCTTTAGTCCCACAAATAAGCTTTGGGGATCTGACATGAAAGTGGGCCGTCTAACTGGCTCTACCATTTTATGAAGGTAGTGAGGGCTAGCGCTTATGAGCGTCGACTGCATGCCGGGCTTTGGGGACTTTCTCTCATGGACTCTTGATGACTGCCCTGTGGAGTGACCCATTCTACAGATGAACAAGCTGAGTCTCAGGGAAGGGCAGGTTCTGGTCCATCATCGCACAGTGGTGGCATCAGGGCCAAGACCGGGCTCCGGTGCCCTCTCACCCCATTGTCTGGGCCGGAGTCGCCGGACCCACAGCCTCTCTGCTCCTCCTCCCCCCTCCACCCCTCCTTTTCTTCCTCCCTTCCTTTAAGGCAGTGCTTCTCAACCAAGGGCGATTTGGGCCCCCAGGGGACATTTGGCAATGTCTGGAGGCATTTTTGATTGTCACAACTTGGGGCGGGGCCACAGGCACCTGGGGTTGAGGCGGGGATGCTGCTCAACACCCCGAGTGCGCAGGACGGCCCCGCAGCAGAGTTGTCCACTCCAGAGTGTCAGCTGAGCCGAGGCTGAGATGCCTGCCTTCAGGTATCCTGGTGCTGACATGAGGAACGGGACCATCAGCTACTCAGATAGAAACGAGTATCTTCTAGTTCACTCAACCCCACTGCTGACGAGGTGGCCTTCGGTGAGGACCACAGGAAGAGAAGCTCCTGGGGGCTGGAGGAGAGGAGACAAAGGGAAGGGAGAGTGAGATGGAGCGGGTCGGCAGTGGGGGAGCCTGGACCCCCAGAAGCAGAGAGAGGCTGCAGTGTGGAGGGGAGACCCTCATGAGCCGGAGGCATGCAGGGGCTTCAGGGCCTGCTGCCCCAGCCGGGGTCCTGCCTCCTGCATGCTCCTCGCCTCCATCCTGAGATGCTCCCACTCCCGAGTCCTCAGGCCTCCGTTGGCATGAGGCTGGGTGCCCAGTGGGTGCCTCCTCTCTGGGCAGCTGGGACAGAGCCTTCCCCTTGCTGGCGTCCTGCTTTCTGGCCTGCTGGGCTCTGTCCAGAGGTGGGGCCGGGACCCTCATCCGTATCTCTCCGTCAGCTCCTCACACTCCAGGATTTTTAATGCAGGGAGCAGCCCCAGGCAGGGGCAGCGGCAATGGCCTGGAAGTCAGACAAATGGGCTTCAAGCCCTGACTCTGGCCTGCCCTCGTGGGGTCCTGGTCAGGGTGTTTCGCCGCTCCTGGGGGCCTGGAGGGCCCCATCTATAAAATGGGGTGGATTAAAGTTCTTCCTTCCCGGATGTTGGGAACGAGTATAGCAGACAGTCGATGTTTGTTTCCCCAAAACGAGCAGCTGTCGCCAACCCCTGGCTGGCCAGACTCAGCCCTGGGTGCTGTTCTAACTCCCGGCCTCAGAGGACCAGTTGGCTTGGCGTTAGGTAACGTCCCCCTGGCCTGGTCGGTGTACTGGATTGTTCTGAAAATACCAGCAGATCCTAAGAGCTGAGACATGTGACGATGTCCGTTTCTCAAATGGAATTTCCATGCCGGAGGATGGGCGGGTCTCCCCGCTCAGCTGAGTACACGGCGTCCTTCACGCCCTGTTGTGCTTTCGCCAGAGGATGGGCAATCCTGCTGATGGCAGAGAGCAAACAACAGTAATATTAAAAATGGCACAAACCCAGTGAAATAAACACTACTGTTCCCAATTCCCAGATGAAGAAATGGCATCTTGTGTTAAAAATAGCAGTCATGGAAGTGGGATCCTTTTTATGTGAAATTATTGAAAGAGCTAAGACTAAAAACTCTAAAACTCTTAGAAGAAAACATCGGGATAAACCTTTGTGATCTTGATTAGACCCTGGTTTCTTAGAAATGACACTGAGAACACAAACAGCAACAACAACAACAAAAAACAAATGAATTGGATTTCATCAAATTAAAACCTTTTGTGCTACAAATAACATTATGAAAAAAGAGAAAACAACCCGCAGAATGGGAGACGATATTGGCCAATCGTATCTGATAAGGGACTCCTATCTAGAACATAGAAACAACTCTCATAGGGGCTGGCCCTGTGGCTTAGCGGTTAAGTGCGTGCGCTCTGCTACTGGCGACCTGGGTTCAGATCCTGGGCGCGCACCGACGCACCGCTTGTCCGCCCATGCCGAGGCGGCGTCCCACATACAGCAACTAGAAAGTTGTGCAGCTATGACATACAACTATCTACTGGGGCTTTGGGGAAGAAAAAGGAGGAGGATTGGAAATAGACATTAGCTCAGGGCTGGTCTTCCTCAGCAAAAAGAGGAGGATTAGCGTGGATGTTAGCTCAGGGCTGATCTTCCTCACAAAAAAATAAAAAGAAAGAAAAAGAAACAACTCTCATAACTCAATCATAAAAAGACAAGCACATTAAATGGACAAAGGATCTGAATAGACATTTCACCAAAGAAGATATACAAATAGTGAATGAGCGCAAGAGGAGATGCTCGACATCATTAGCCACCGGGGAAATGCGAATCAAAACCGCAGTGAGGTACCAGTTCACACCCCCTAGGACGGCTGTAACCAAAACGACAAGCCAGAACCGGCGTTGGCAGGGACGTGGAGCCCTCGGACGTGCTGCTGGTGGAACGTCAGATGGTGCAGCCGCTTAGGAAAGCAGCCTGGCAGGTCTTCAGACGGCTAAGCACAGAGTTACCGTACGACCTGGCAAGTCACTCCTAGGTGTGTACCCAAGAGAAGCAGAAACATGTCCACACGGCAGGGATTGTGCATGAACGGTCAGAGCAGCTTACTCCTGACAGCCAAAAAGTGGAAACAACCCCAGAGTATTTCACCTGGTGAACAGATACATGTGGTGTGTTCATATAATGGAACAGTATTCAGCCTTAAAAAGGAAGGAGATTCTGACACATGCTACAACGCGGATGAACCTTGAAAGCATTATGCTAAGTGAAAGAAGCCAGACACAAAGAATTACATATTGTGTGATTCATTCGTGTGAAATGCCAGACTAGGCAAATCTAGACAGAAAGTAGATTCTCGGTTACCTGGGGATGGGGAGGGACGGTAATGAGTAGGGGGTTTCCTATTGGGGGTGATGAAAATGTCCTAAAATTGATTGTGAAGATCGACAACTCTGTGAATATACCAAAAACCATTGACTTGTACGTTTTAAATAAGTGAATTGTACGGCATGTGACTTTCATCCCAGTAAAGCTGCTGTTTTTTGTAAGGTATGCTCTGAGCAGCTTCTGCATGACTGGGTAGGTCCTGGGGAGGTGCTTAGGGTATAGTTTTTGAAGAGATCACGTCCAGGACCCTCAAGGGCCAGGCATCGGTTCTGCCCCGTGAGGAAGTGTGTTATGTTATATGACATTATTATATTAGGTATCTTGTTATGTTGATTCTATGTTACGTCATAGGTGTGTGTCTGCGTGTGTGTGAAGGTATTTGTGGCATACACAAGTGAATGGTAGAATGGCCACCGAGAGGCTAAGCGTGGGTATCTCAGAGTAGAAGGTTAGCAGGGATTTTAATTTTTCTTCAACTTTTATTACCGTTTGGGTTCCTAACAGTGAATAGTATTATGAATATAATCAGAAAGAAGTTATTTTTGTCATTGAAACCAAAGGAACCCTTGTGTTGGGAGGCTGGCAGTGGCTCTGGGCTGGGCTCCACGCGGCGCCGTCTGACGTCAGAGGACCACACCCTCTGTCCAGGTGGAGCCAGGACCTGTCACGGCAGATGGGCTGTGTGACCAGGCGTAAGTGACCCCGGCCTGCCTCAGTTTAGCCGCCCACTGCAACCTGTGGAGGCTGGTTTGTGCGCTGGGCCCCATTGGTATAAATCAGATACCCCCGGAGACCGCGTTTAACCGGAAGGGCTGTGTGCGAGCTGCCCGTGGTGACCCGATGCCGCGGAGCCGCAGCCCGTGCACGTCCTCCTGCACGGCTCAGCTTGCCCTGGGCGCCAGGCCAGCAATCTCGACGCCCGGTTTTAGCTGGACACTCAGGACATGCTTCCCTACCACCGGCCTTCCTCGGACCAGTGGATTCGGAGGGGAACATGCAAAGAGCCAGAAAGTGACCGAGGGAAGAAAGGCCAGAAGAAACAGAAGCCAGTCCCGTCCCATGGAGACGCGGGTTCAAGTCCCCACTCTGCAGCTACAAGCTGTGTGATCCTGCCAAGTCACTGAGCGTCTCTGAGCCTCAGTTTCCTCACCTGCAGCATGAGGTGATAATGTCTCTCATGCCAGTTGCTGACAGGACTGGAGATGACCTGCCTATACTTGCCCACGTGGGGATGAAGGGCATTTGAAAACCGGGGGAGTCATCACATCCACCCTGAGCCCACCTACATTGGTACCAACCTGTGTCTGCTCATATGCTTTTAGAGTGCAGCCTCTGTCCCAGCAGCTGCCATTGCCCGCTTCTCGCTCAGCCTGGTGGGAATGCCCCGGCCCGGGACTGCCAGCCTCACCTCCCAGAACACCCGCCTGGCCGGGCGTAACCACCTGTGTCTCGGGGAAGGAGAAATCTTTGTACAGGAAGCTCACGTGTGTTTCCTTTTGGGGGAAGTGCCCATGGAAACCCCAGAGATGTGGCCCAAGGCCTGCATGTGTGCCGGGAGCCCCACAGTTACAGGCTAAGTGGGGTCCCATTGCGTTGGGGAGTCCTGGTCATGGACATTCTCAAGCGCTTTCTGCTCACTGACGTGGCACACGTGGGCTTCAGAACCAGAAGGAGGTGCCAGCAGGGGGAGCAGACTGGCAGCGGGCACGAGAGAAGGGTGGGTGTTTCGGGGTGGACACTGGGGACAGACATCTGTCCAGGGCCTTCCTCCAAAGTCATAGGCCAGCCCCGCACCTATGGCATCTGCTGTTACCCTCCCCGGGCCTCTCAGGCCCACTGAGGAAGGACTGAAGGCTCAGAGAGGCACGGGCCGC